GTGCAGTAAATTAATAAAAGGAATAAAGAACAGAAAAATTAGAAGAAACGGTCCTTATTGTAGATGACATGATTATAGATGTAAAAAGTCCTAGCTGATCTTGAAGTTTGGAATTGAGTTTGACAATCTCAAGATACAAAGTTCAATGTATGAAAAACCTATCATACTGCCATATATTTGCAGGGAATTTAAAACCTGTTTCCCCAAAACGTAAGGTGACTAAAAAGATGTTAAGTCCTAACCCCCAGAACCTGTGAATATGACCTTACTTGGATATAGGGTCTTTGCAGATGTCCTATGAGATGATGATGTGCTTGGATGAGGGTGGGCCCCAAACCCAGTGACTCGCGTCCTTACAAGAGGAGAGATAGAGGTGCTGGCTCAGCTGGTGGGGCACGCAGCTAGCTCTTGATCTCGGGGTTGTGAGTTCAAGCCCCATGTTGGGTGTGATTACTTAAAATCTTAAAAAAAAAAAAAAGACACAAACACAGAGATATAGGGAGGAGACCGTATGAAAACGGAGAGAGACTTGGAGGGACATCTCTACAAGCCAAGGATTGCCAGGAGAAGCCAGGAGGGGGGCATGGAACTGATGGTTCTTTACAACCTCTAAAAGGAACCAATCCTGTGGATACCTGTGTTTTGCAGTATATTATCCCCCCAGGGATTTTGGGTTATATCCTCCAGGACTTTTGAGAATAAACATTTTTCTTTAAGATTTAATTGACAGAGAACATAAGAGAGGGTACTGGGAGAGGGAGAAGCAGGCTGCCCGAGGAGCAGGGAGCCTGATGCCGAGCTGAAAGCAGACGGTTAATGACTGAGCCACCCAGGCGCCCCAAGAACAAATTCCTGTTGTTAGAAACCACCCAGTTTATAGCACTTTGTTATGGGAGCCCCAGGAAACTAAAGCATAACCCCATTTATGATGTCAAAAACCTAAAATGCTTAGAAAAAATTCATCAGAAGCATGCAAAATCTCTACAATAAAGGCTACACAATACTGTTGAAATTCAGAGAACACATAAATGAAGAGAAATCACGTCTGCAGACTAGGAACTCTGTTGTATCAAGATGTTGCTTCGTCCCAAACTGGCCTACAGACCCAGCACAGCCTCGTCCATAATCCCAGCAAGCTTGTGACAAGCTCATTTTAAATTCTGTATGTTGTATGTGTGATACAGATGTATATGATACATATGGTATCATATGTATATCATATATTAAGTATTGAGCATTCCAACATACACACGGATCACGATAATATGGTGATCTCATATGTACCATATATGTATGATGTCATATATGTATCCTATATGTATATCACATGATATACCACATGTAGATATATGTATATCCTATATGTATGATACGTATGATGAGATCACCATATCATCATGATCCGTGTGTATGTTGGAATGCTCAATACTGTCCTACAGGCTACCATTTTCCATTCTCTTTTCTTCTCAGTGCTTCTTTCTGGTAGTTTCTCTTCCTGTGCCATCAGGTTCATGGGTGTTTTCTAAGGGGTTTTGGATCTGCTATTAATTCTATCCAGGGTATTTTTTCATTTCAGATGTTGTATTTTTTCTTTAGAACTTCATTTAGGTCTTTTTTGGATTTTTCATTTCTTCATCTTGTTCGTGATTTCTTTTACATCTGGAGTGTATTTTTAAGATGTTTAACAATATCCATTTTACGGTTCCCGTCTGCAGATTCAGCAACTGTCATTTTGTGGTCTGCTTAGTATTTCTCTTGATTATGGTTTCTATTTTCCTTCCTTTTGGCACGCTGTGGTAATTTCTACCTGGATTCCACCATTGTGAATTTCGTACAGTGTGGGCTGGTTTTGTGCTCCTTAAAGAATGTCGGACTTTGTTCCAGCAGGCAGTTAAGATACTCAGGATCAGTTTGATCCTTTTGGGGCTTGCTTTTGATTTTGCTTGAGGGCTGATTTCACCCCACTGCTGAGGTCACAGCTTTCTGAGGCCTCTACCCTGAGGTCTGCACTGTGTGTTACGTGGTTTTCTGCCGTGGCTGGTAGAAACACTATTCCAGCCGTTCTGTTTTCTGGTGATTTCCCCTTGGGTTCCCGGGAGTTTATGCCACACCTGCAGCATCGGCAGACTGTAGGCGCCTGGCCTCCACAAATACCAGCCTGTGCTGGCTCTACTCATCAGGTCTGCAGGGCTCTGCCCCCACCCACAGTGCTGGGCCTGGAAACTGCCTCGAGGCTGGAAGCTGGGGCACCAAGAGACTTACCTTGTTTCCTCCCCTTCGCACAGAAAACACTGCCATGTGCAGCGTCTCTTCCAATACCCAACACACTGTGTACACAGCTTCCTCGGGTTCAGTTCTGTGCGGTGGTCTCCGTGGCTGTCATCCTCCTTCCCGAGTGCCACTTGCACACGTTTAGGACTCTTCCTCGTAACCATATGGTCTCCTCTGGGAAAGCCAGCCGGAGGGCTCCTGGGCACAGCGGGCTCCCGGCTCGTTTCAAGCATCGGTTCCTAACAGTTTGGAAGCCATGGAAGTTGTCCCTGTGCTGGGCCTCCCACCCCTCGGGGCTTACGTTTACATCTTAATAGCGGATCCAGGACAATGGTCGCCTGTCACTGAAGGACCAGGACTCAAGTTACTTCAGTTCCATCACTCTGTGGGTGACTGAGTGCTTTTATTGGTGTTTAAAACCAAGAAACAGCGGGACCTGTGAGGTAAGTTTTTCCTTTTCCTTTAATATTAATTAAATTAAGAAGCGTTCATCCTTTCTGGTACCATAATACTCCTTTTGATATTATTTTGGTTTAATGGCATGAGTATGTAAACAAAGTTCAATAAAAGGGCATTTTCCTGGCCATTGTTATTTTATTTCATCTCATGATTACCGTTGCCGTGTAAAGGAGGTGCTAGTCCAGCGTGGTCTATGCGAGGCTCCCCCAGGGATCGACTCCCAGGTCTAGGCCCTGTGAAGACAGGAGCACTGGAGCTGGATGTCCCACAGATGCACCTTGGACCTTGGCTTCCCCATCTGTAAATGCAGTGTCTGGGCATGAGGACCCATGATGACAAGCCTCCAGGCCTGGGCCTGCCTCTGGGGACATGGGAGGGGCTGAACCTGGGAAGCCCTGCCAGCCTCGGTCCTCCATCTCCCCCACCCCTGGACTCTCCTGGGCCTCCCAGGCCCCAGATCCATCCTCTGAGAACTGGGATGGTAAAGTGACGCCCCTCCCCCGCCCCCCCCGTTGGGGAAAGCCAAAGGAACCAGCAGGAGCAGAAGTGTACAGACCTAGAACAAGCTTTAGGTGGCTCACCTGTGTGCGAGGGGAGCAAGGGTGTGGAAGGTGGCAGGTGGGGCCTCAGGAGTGGGCACCCAGGGGTTCCCCTCACCACTCATGGCCCTGACAAGGTCCTGCTCATGTCACAGGGGAGACCCTGCAGTTCCTCAGCAGCCAACATGTCCCCCAGATGGAAGTGGAGGCCAAGAGGTGGGACTATCCATGGGGAGAAGAGGCTGGGGCAGGGACAAGGTCTTGAAGGGCCTGGGTGGGCAGCTTCCCCAGAGAGCAGGCTCCCCCCACCCCCAGACCCTTCCCAGTCTTTGCTGCTCTGGCCCAGCCAGCCCTGGCTCTCCCTTGCCCTCACCGGGAGCCATGGAAGCCCAGGCCTGGGCTTGGGACTCCTGGAGGCATCAGGGCCTTTTGAGGACACGGCTCCTGCTGTGGTCACTGCCCAGCCCATTCCTCGCTTTTCAGGCTCATTCCACGAGCAAAGGGATATGCTTGTTCTTCCCACCTAGTTAGAAAAAAGCAAAACAAACCAGCCAGCCTCTTGCCTATCTCCTATGCCCAGGACCTGCCATTCCCACCCTTGTTTTCCTGCAAACCAGCTCCCACTGGGTTGTGGTCGAAGTCCCCAAAGTGTAGGAGCCCCGGGGTCAGACCTTGGACCTCACCTTGACCACAGCAGCCCTGTGGTGGCCGGTCTTTCCCCGTCTGTGTCCTCCAGGCCGCCCTCCTCCTCCCACCCTAGTCACTGCTTCTGGCACCTGGACCCCTGACCTGTCTGCACTTGTTCTGCAGTGGCCTTCCGTCCATGAACGGCAATCCCAACGCCGGACGTCTCACCTGGGGGGTCAGATGGGCACGTCAGACTTGACCCCTGCCCCAGGGCAGGCAGCCCCGTGCAGCCCGGGGCTCAGACCAAAGCCTTGGAGTCCCTCTTGCCCCCCTCTCTCCTACCTGCATCTCATCTGTCCAGAAATGCTGCAGACAAAACCGGCAAAGTATTTTCAGAGGCCATTTCCTCTCTTCCTGTCTCCACACGGACGCAGGGCCCTCATCGCTCCCCCTTCACTCGGGGACACGCCACATCCCTGCAGCTGCACACAAGCAGGTTTCCCAAGGGGCAGGGCTTGGCCGGGCCCTGGGAAGTGGGTGGGAGCGGCTCCTGCAGAGACTCCTGCAAGCCGCCTGCCTGCAGAGACCGCAGAGGAACCAGGCAGCCGTCCCCCCTTTGCCCTCCATACCGCCCGTCATTCCTCGTTCACACCCAGTGAACACCCGTGACTTTTCAGTCTCGTTAGAGATCACGCCGCCCCCCTCCCCCGGAGCTGGATGGGCACCTGCCCGTAAGGCTCTATGTGGTCCCAGCCTGCTGACCCTTGGGCCCCCCGGCTCTGCCTCCCCAGCCCCGTAGGTTAGGGTGCGGTGACCCCATGCCACTACTGCTGGGTGTCAGTACTGCTCTCACCAAACTCTCTGGGCACCGGGCTGGCCTCTGCCCTGGGGCCTGGTGCTGCCTGGCACGCGGAAGGCCCCGGAGGGTACAGAGGCATGAAGGATACTGGGCAGGAGCCAGGACCCCTAAACTGCTGCCACGGGTGACTCGGGAGATGCTCCAGGGTTGGTGGGCCAGCTTCCCCTTGGGGGGCACTGCCCCCCACTCTCCCCGCACCCTGCTCCCCATGCACCACACTCCCCACCGCCCCCAGCAGAAAGCAGCCAGACGAGGTCTTCTGCTGTACTAATGTATTCCATCTTTCAAAAAGAAAGACATGATTTTAATATTACTTAACAATATGTTAAAAAAGTAGCCAGGCAGGCCTCCGTGTTAATACAGTCGTACACTCTCTAACAGACTTGATGGTGTGAGTACTGGGTGGGGTTTTGTTTTTGAACTTTCTCATTCTGCAAGGGATCTTACACAAGCTGGCTACAAGTCAGGGGGGTCAGACACAAACAGCGCAACGTGTACACTCTTAAACAGTAGATTGTGGAGGAGAACGGAAGAGCGCCTGCCCGCCCAGCCCGCTTTGGGTGGGACGCAGGGCACACGAGAGCTGAGTGACGGCAGTGCCCTGGCAGGGACAGATGACAGGACAGGGCGAGATGCAGAGGCAACGAGCCACGTGGATGATGAAACGCGTCTCTGGCCACGGCCCCGGCTCCTGGGCCGCGCAGTGGGAAGCCGGCGGGAGCTACTGTTGCAATCCGACGGCCGGCGCTGTGCTCACGCCTCACTCACAGATACACGCACACGAGCCACTGACACAGGCCGAGCGGCGAGTTCTCGGTCTGGGGGCATCAGGTGCGGTGGCCCACCCGGCACAGCCCTGGGCAAGCACAGCAGCTCCGGGGCCTGGCCCACCTTCCGCGCGTCCCTCTCCAGGTGGTCCTCATTCAGTGGGCAGCAAAAGTGGCTTTTTTCAAGCTAAAATTGGACCAGTTGATGGATAGTCTTTGTCGGGTCTGTCTAGCGGAATCCAAACAGAATCTGTGAAGACAAAGAGCCAAACGGTCACAGAAGGAACAGCCCACAGCTGAGCTGTGTCAGCAAAGTCCAGTGTCCTCCCAGGATGGGAGGGTGGGGGAAGGGCGCTCAGCATGCCAGACCCGCTGTCAAGGACCCCTCCACATCTGGCCACCCTTCAGAGTGGGGAAAGGCCCTCAGGAGGACGGGGATCCCCTTCTTCAGGGCACAGGTGAGTGCCCTCAATGTCCTCTGGTGTCCTGTGTCCTTCTTTTTGAACTTGTCCTCCAGGGAAGCTGCCCAAAGGAGGTTTCTGATGAACCCATCTGAAAATGTACCAATGGCCACCACCCTGCCCTTCTCCACGTGTTAAGCCATGGAGATCCCAGCGGCCCTCGCTGATCCACAAATGCACACCCGAGTGCAAGAGGACACAGGACTTCACACGGTGAGACTTGGTCACAGCACTGCCACCGACCCCCCACTCCCTGCACTCAGGGTGGCAGCAGAGGCAGGCCTGCTGCCCTGGGGCCCAGCTCTGGGTCACCCCTGCACACCCAACAGCATCTGAAAAACACCACGTTCTGCCACCTGCTTCCCAGGCAATAATGGCTGATTCTCTATTAAATGAGGAACACTTCCTTTCAAAAACCTTAACTATGCAGTTTCTGAAGTTCTCACCTGTCCAGCTCTCATCTGAGTAGCAGAAACTTGAATTAAACCTGAAAATGGTTACTGTGGTCACACAGCGTAGCCCAAGTGTGTTGATTTACATCACTCAACCACAACTCCTTGTGCTGCCTGCTAGGCAGTCTGTGTCCAGGTGGATAGAGCCGTGTGTCCGTCCCTGCCCTGCCCCCGAGCAGTGTGCCACCTCCCAGAATTCAACTTCTCTTTCTCTGGCCACAGCTGGTCGAACTCCGAGTCCTAGTGGCATCACTTTTACAACGTTCGTTGTTCACCTTTACAACCTTACAACCAACCTGCCTGGACCGTGTCCCCCTGCTCTGGCGGGCACTCCCAGCGGTCCCCATTAGGCTACATGCATCCCGCCTCTCCACGTGTGGTGGCAAGAACGTCCATAGGTGTCTCTGAGCCAGCTGGAGCCAGGCCCCCAGGCCCCCAGCTCTGCCTACCCCCCCAACACCCGAGGATCTGACACTTCCTGCCCATCGGGCCTCCATGTGGTCTGCCAGGGACCGTGTTACATGTCCAGAACATGTGTACCCAGGTGACTGGGACCACAAAAGCCTCGATCAGCACACCCCTAACCCAGGTCAGGAAGCCCAACCCTGCCGACCCCATGGCACCATGCCGTCCTCTCCCAGGATGCAGCTCGCACCCTGGTGTCTGTGACAATTGCCCACAACCTCGCAGCCCCTCACCCATGGTCTGTGTGCGCTGATTTCTGCACTTACAGGAATAGAGTCATCCTGTATCTTTTTCTTCCTGCTTTTGTGCAATTCCCCCAGGAGGCCGCCATGTGCCCGTTTCCAAGGTTGTAAGAGCTCCCCCCACAGAATAGACAGAAAACCGCAGGGCTCCGTGAAACGGACGGCTTCGACTTGACCCGATTCTGCCAAACTTCATGGTCGTTGGAGCCACTCTGTGCCCCCGAGGAGTGGGGGAGCCACTGCCCCTGCGCGCCCAGCCCGTCAGGCGGGAGGTCTCTCCATAAGTCCCTGGTCATGGGTTTCTGTGACAGCCCATCTGTCCACGCATGGGTCTTTTCCTGTTCTGTCATGTGTATCTGTTCTGGTACTAACCCTCCGTGAGGTGCTGCGGATACCATCTCCTCACTTTCTTTAAAGAACTGTTGATTTTCATGTCATTTAATTTATCAATCTTTTTTATTTTATAGTTGGCGTTTTTAAGAAATCTGTCCCTACTCTGAGGTCAAACAGATACTCACCTATATCCCAAATAAAAAGGTTTGCTTGTGACGTTTAGAGTCTTCCCACCTAGAGCTGACCTTTGAGTAGGATGACGTGAGGATCCAACTGAAAGTTTTTCTTACATAAACTTTCACAGCTGCATTTATGAACATACCTTCGTTTCTGCTGCCGATCTTTTGTCATAAACCAAAGCTCAGCATTGTGTAGTCTGTTTCTGTGACTTTCTAAGTCTTTGCAATGGACAAGAAAAGCAGCTCTGTTCTTCCTATACTTCTAGAAGGATCAGATCAAACCTAAGTTTGTTTGTTCTTTTGTTTTGTTTTAAATATATATATATATTTCAAAGATTTTATTTGATGAGAGAGAGCTCACAAGTAGGCAGAAAGGCAGGCAGAGAGAGAGAGGGAAGCAGGCTCCCTGCTGAGCAGAGAGCCCAAAGGAGGGCTGGATCCCAGGACCCATGACCTGAGCAGAAGGCAGATGCTTAACCCACTGAGACACCCAGGTGCCCAGTTCGTTCGTTTTTTTTGTGTGAACATCACACACATGCAGGAGAGAAACCAGACATGCACGCTGAAAGAAACTGAGAAGGCAAACACTGGAGCACTAGCAGCAAGCCTGGGACACTGCCTCCGGGCAGTCCCCACCCCAAAACCCAAAAGTAATCACCATTCTGGCTTTTTAGGATCATTTCCTTGCTTTTCTTTATAGTCTTAACACCTATGTATGGTATAGTATCCCTGAAAATATACGTCACTGAGGTATAATTTATGTACAATAAACTGCAGTTACTACAGAGCTCATAGTGCTGATAAATAAATAAATCCGAGTAACTATCCCTCCAATCAAGACACAGAAAACTTCCAGGAAGTCCCTTTGCTGTAATCTCCTCGCTGCCCCAGCCCTAGGTGAACAGTGATCTGCCGTCACTGGGATGAATTTGCATTTCCTGGCATCTCAGGTACATGCAACTTCGCAGTATGTACCTGCTGTCTGCCTTCTTGGCCCGAGCACCTGCCTCTGGGCTCCATCTCCACGTGTCATCGGGAGTAAGCTTTTCCCAGGTGAGTGGCGTCCACCGGATGGACAGAGCACAGTTTCTCTGCTCATCTGCTGTGCAGACCTGGGCTGTCCCCAGTTTTTGGCTATTACAAGTGAAACTTCTGGAAACATTCATGTACAAATCTTTGTGTGGATACATGCTCTGGCTTCTCTTGGGCAGAGAGTCAGGAGTGGAGCTGCTGGACTGAATGGTGTACATTAAAAAGTGTACTTCAATGGAAAGAGCCTGGATGTCCACAACAGACAAATGGATAAAGAAGATCTGGTTCATCTATACAATGGAATATTACTCAGCCAACAGAAAGGATGAAATCTTACCATTTACATCGACATGGATGGAACTGGAGGGTATTATGCTGAGTGAAATAAGTCAGGGAAAGACAATTATCATATTATCTCACTCATATGTGGAACTGAAGAAACAAAACAGAGGATCAAAGGGGGAGAGAAGGAAAAAGAAGAGGAAATCAGAGAGACAAATCGTAAGAGACTCTGAACTCTAGGAAACAGACTGAGGGCTGCTGGAGGGGAAGGAGTGGGTGGAGGGGGATGGTGTCCTTACGGGCAGCAAGGAGGGCGCGTGATGTAAGGAGTACTGGGTGTGATATGTAACTGATGCATCACTGACCTCCACCTCTGAGACTAATAATATGTTAATAATGTCATATTATTATGTATTATATAATAATACATACTATATGCTATATAATATAATATATAATATACACTATAATACTAACTAAGCTATATTATATAATACTAATAATATGCTAGTAAGGCTAGTATGTTAATAACTGATTTTAAATACAACAATTTAAAAATATGTAAAAACTGGTTGTGTCTAAAAACATTTGGTTGTGTCTAAACTGAGCTTTCTATAAATAGGGTATCATGTATATTCGCGTGCTGTGCCTCTGTCCACTCTCGAGTTTGTAGGATCCACACTGCAGACTGTTCTAGCCCGTTCCTCTCCGCGGCTGAGCAGCATTCCATGTGTGACTGTATCACATGTCCACCCTACACGAATGTGTTTTAAAAACACTCAATTTTACAAAATCCTTCTTGGGCTTTAAAATCTACAGATAAATTCTGGGAAGTGAGATAGCTTAACGATATTCACTTTTCTTATAAATGAATACAGGATCTATCCCAGGTCTTCAAAATTCTTCCCTCATGCTTCATCTCTTTCTATGCACAGGTCGTGGGCAACTTCTATTAGATTTATTCATGGAAACTGCATAGATTCTGGAGCTGTTACAAATACCGTCTTTATTTTAAAATACATCTTCAAATTATGGATGGTATGGAGAAACATAACTTCTGTACACTGATCCTATAGCCCGTCCCTTTACTAAACTCTTTCTCTTGCTAATTTTTTTGTAATTCTCTTTGTAGTCAGTTAGATCAACTGTTAAGTAAAATGGAATTTTATCTCCTGCTTTCCATTCTTTAAGCCTTTTCATTTCTTTTCTTCTCTTATTATGCTGCCTAGGAACCATGATTTAAGGCTGAACAGAGATGGAAACAGAGAGCATCTCTGTTTTGCACACGCTTCCATGCTTCCCACTTGAGAAAATGTTTCATGTAGCATTTCTTTTCTCTCTTTTGGTAAATCTCCTTTTCAGGTTAAGGATATTTCCTTCTACTACTAGTTTACCTTTTTCTTTTTTTCTTAAATTAATGGAATGCTAATTTTTATCAGATGTTTTTTCTGAACCTATGGAAATGATCATATGGTTCTTCTTTAATTATCAATTTAGCAAATAGCATTTGTGGATTTCCTAATAGTAAATATTCCTTGCATTCATTCCTAGGGTACACCAGTTTGGTCAAATATTACTTTTAAAAATACTGTTGGATTTGGAATGTGAAATTTTTTCACATCCAATTAATACTCATGACCAAAACAGATCTGTGATTTTTCATGTTTTCTGTATTGCTTTTAGCAGATTTTGGTATCAAAATCTTCCTTCTCTCATAAAATGAAGTGGGGAGTCTTGTGTTGTCTCCTCCTTTCAATTTTCTGGTAGAATCAGTATAAGGCTGGATCATCTCCATCTCTCTTTTTAAAAGATTTTATTTATTTGACAGAAAGAGAGACAACAAAGGAGGGAACCCAAGCAGGGGGAGGGGGAGAGGGAGAAGCAAGCTCCCCACTGAGCAGGGAGCCTGATGTGGGGCTTGATCCTAGGACCCTGGGATCATAACCCAAGCCGAAGGCAGAGGCTTAACCGACTGAGCCACCCAGGCGCCCCGGATCATCTCTTTAAAGTTCTGGGAGCATTCTCTGCACAAATGTCAGAATGCACTGGGGTTATCTGTAACTACTACTCTGATTTCTTCGATGGTTTACTGGATCATTCAGGCTATTTTGTTACTGCGTTGATTTCGTATTTAAGTTTTAAAATTGTGAAGTTGTTCCCAATGTTCTCGTATAGCTGAATCACTACAGCACCTGGAGCTATGTCTTCCCTTTCACTTATATAGTCACAGAATATAAAAAAACTCTTCTCATTATGGAAGATGTCAGACACACACAAAAGCAGAGTGTGGTGACATGGGTGCAGCCATGGTCCAACTTTTATAATTATCAACATCCTGGTTCTTTTTCATCTAATTACTGTATTGTGTCGTTTCTCCCTATTTTATCTTGATCAGTCTCTCAAAGGTTAATTATCTAGTTAATATTTTCAAAGAGTCAAAGTTTGGCTTTGTTGATCTCCTCTGTATTTGTTTTCTGTTTCACGATTTATGTATTATCCTCTTTTATGCTCTTTGGGCTTATTTGGTTGTTCTTTCCCTAATTTCTCAAACAAAATCCTTAACTCATTAATTTTCAGGTTTTTAAAAACTCACTCGGCAGCCTTAAGGCTTCAATGAAGGAGCGCTCAACAGCAAACTGTCCACAGCCCACAGTTTTCATAGTCAGTGTTTTCCTTCTCTTTTAGTTCCAGGTATTTTTAAATGTCTACAGTGGTTTCTTATTGAACCCATGAGTTAAACATATATACTTTCAGATATCCAAATACTTAGGGACTTAAAAATTTACTTTGGTAAACTGCCGACTTAAATGTGATGCGGTCAGGGCATACAATTACACATATTCACTCCCTTAAACTTCTGACCCTTGCTTTCTGTGGCCCAGTACCCACTCCACTTCTGTGAGTGTTCCCCGTGTGCCCAGAACACAGATGCCCTGTTTCCTGGATGCACTCTCCTCCGTACTCCTCTTCCACATCCATGGGGACGATGTCCAAAAGGGACGGTGGATCGGATTCTCTATGCAGCCCAAACTAGTTCCTATTTGTATTCTGAGGCTATTTCATTAAGTACCTAGTTTAAAATTTCTATGTCTTCCTCACACATTGAATCTTTTAGCACTATACAGCAACCTTTATCAGTCCCTTTTTTTAATCCATATTCTCTTTGATAATAACATAATTATACAACAGCTTCCTTTTCCTCTTTACTTCTACCTTTCTATTCACTGTGTTTTAGGTATGTTCTTATAAATGGTATGTGTGTGCACATGCGCATGTGTGTAAGCGTGTGTGTGTGTGTGTGTGTGTGTTTAAAATCGTCAACACAATCTGAGAAACTTTTTTATTGTCTATCACGCTTGCTGATAAAACTGAACTTGTGTCTCCCGTGTTCTTAAACTTTACTATATTTATGTTTACTGTTTTGAGTTTTGATTTTTTTCCTTCTACAGATTAGCAATTTACACATCCTATTTCTATTCTTTTAATGCTTACTTGTAAAAGTGTATCACCCATTTAGCTTCAAGTCTGAATATTAAATACTTAACTGTTAAATACCTCAACAAAAAAGGACTTTTTTTTTTTTTTTTAATTTAGCTCACATACTATTGCTGTTCAGTACTGTGGTTCTTTCAGACATGTCAATTAGACATTACTACTCTGTGGTTACAAAGAAAATGTTTTATTTAACAACATTTATCAGGCGGTTTCTCTCTCCTTCCTGCAAATCACACTGTCTTTCTGAGATGATTATCTTCTTCTCTTGAAGATATATATATATATTTTTAAACACAGATCTCTTTGGAGCAAGTTCCTACAATTTTTCTTTACTATGGAAAAGAATAGGTTTGTGGGATACATAGTTACAGACTGAGAACTTTCTCTCAAAGCTGTAAATCTCACTCCATGGTCTTCTGGTTTCACATCTGCTATGTTGAGGAATGGATTTTCATTTGTTTATCCCACTGGTGTATGTTGTACAGCTCCTGCATTTGTAGATCTGGATTTCTCATTAGCTCCGCACAATCCCCAGGTACTTTATCTCTTCAAATATAGCTCTCCTGTAGCCTCCATCTTCTCCTCGGGCAGCTCCAGTCAACCGTCTGTCAGACTCAGTCTCTCCTTCATGTGTCTGAGCCTCTTTCCTCTTTTCTAATGTCCTTATATGTGGGTGCATTCTGTGTTCATCTTTCAGATTGTTCTTCCAGTTCACTAATTCCCTCTTTAGCAGTGTCTACTCTGTTTATCACAAATCTATTAACATCTTGATTTTAATCATTACATTTTTCATTTCTAAATGTTTCTTTTCCCCAGGTCTTAAGTGTTTGCTAATCTTTGTTGATAAGGTCATGCATGATTTTTTTTTTTTAAGATTTTATTTATTTATTTGTCAGAGAGAGTGAGCACAGGCAGACAGAGTGGCAGGCAGAGGCAGAGGGAGAAGCAGGCTCCCTGCTGAGCAGGGAGCCTGATGTGGGACTTGATCCCAGGACGCTGGGATCATGACCTGAGCCGAAAGCAGCTGCTTAACCAACTGAGCCACCCAGGCGTCCCAGGTCATGCGTGATTTTAAAGGATATGGTCTATAGGTCTAGCTTGGAAAAATATCTCTCCAAAGTTCCGCATTTATCCACGAAATGCTCCCCAGAATTCAGGGCAAACTGTCTTAGTAACTCAAGTGATCTGCCTACAGATTCTTTCAGACTTTGTACATTGTTCTGTCACCTGAGAATGACAGTTCCATTTCTTCCTTCTGATTCTTGTCCCTTTGTTTCTTCTTACACCTTCACAAACAGAAGTTGTAACAATGGGCATCCTTATCTCTTTTCTTTTTTAAAGATTGTATTTATTTATTTGACAGACAGAGATCACAAGTAGACAGAGAGGCAGGCAGAGAAAGAGGAGGAAGCACGCTCTCCGCAGAGCAGAGAGCCAGATGCGGGGCTTGATCCCAGAACCCTGGGATCATGACCTGAGCCGAAGGCAGAGGCTTTAACCCACTGAGCCACCCAGGTGCCCCTTCTTTTTTAATCTCAAGGGACAGCTGTTAATGTTTCACTGTAACTATGGCATTTATAACTATGGCATTTATTGTATTTTATGGATACCTTTTATTATGTTAAGGATATGCCTATCTAGTCCTATGTTAAAAGTTTTTATTAGGATGAACATCCAACTTTAGCAAACACTTTACTCTGCCTGTGGAGATACACACACACACACATTATAAAATAAATATAACTTCCAGAATCATCTAGAATTCTATAATATTTCATTTATTTTTATCTTTTATTTTTTCTAAATAGGCTCCACGCGAGGCATGAAGCCCAATGCAGGGTTTGAACTCCTGACCTTGAGATTGAGGCCTGAGCGGAGATCAGTAAGCAGATGCTTAATCAACTGAGCTACCCACACAACCCTATATATTTCAGATAGGAGTTAATGGCTTTCTGCACTGCAAACTAACTGCTTCTTTGGTGTATGTATGTTTGTATTATCTGAAACAAACAGGTTAAAGAAGGAACAACTTTAAAATGAAATTTGCTTGCCATAATTCACAAAGCAGATAAAATACTATTGAACACAGTACTAATGAAATCTGCTTATCAGGAAAACTGAGTGAATCTCTGAAATGTTACCTTTCTCCTTAAAAGTGTGCCGTAACAGTGTGTTCCAATGTTAGCACATGTGGATGGCTGGGGCCGCTTGTGAGAACACAGCTGTTGGGCCCCTCCCCAGAGTGACTCCGCAGGTCTGGGCAGGGGCCTGTGTGCCCCGGTGATGCTGCTGGTCTGGAGCCACGGTCCTCAACCAGTCTTCACACACAGGGGTGGGGACCAGGTGTGAGGGCGAGTGAGGAGGCCCCTGTGTGTGCTAGCGCTGTGAGGGGACGTGTGTGACAGGCCACTCAGCTAGCTGACAGAACCTGTGTCCAGGACAGCCGGCAATGCTATGGGAGGGTCAGGAGGGTCATGTCTGGCAGCTGTGAAAGCCTCATTATTTCAGACAGAAAGGCTTAACACTTACCTTTTGAAATATTCCACTTCCCTCTCTGTCTCATCCATATCCACACTGTCTAGGTCGATATCTTTAGGCAGAAAGACATCATCTGTAAAATGAAAGAAAAGAGGCAAGTCAGATTACAGAAGAACAGATCACCTGGCTTTACTTAATTTTAACAATTTCACAAACTGAAAATTTTCTCAAAAATGAGACTTTACAAATAGCCAAGGAAGGGCAGATATCTCTCACCTGCTTGTGAACATCCAGGTTCAACTTCAAAATTATGGAACTCACAAGTCTGCTGAGCACAACTGTGGCTCCAGGTCCCACTAGAAGAGACCTGGCACCCGGATGCCCAAAGGGACTGGCCTTTACTTGACATATTTACTTGACACGTTTCCATGATGGGAGAACCCTTGAGAAGATTCCTAGAAATCCATCATGCTTGCAAGGCCCAGAGTCTGTCCTACGTCCCTATTAGAGGGTGGGAAGGAGTGGGGCATGCTAGCGAAGAGAACCCCAGAAGTCAGCCTCATGGGGAAGCAAACGCTATCCCTTGCAAGTGCCCCTTGCAGCAACAGGACATGACTAACATCAACCTCTACAGGAAGATGGCTCTCCCAGGCATTTAGTTTCTACATGCAACGTCCCACAGACATCATCAAACACTTTTCAGGCTGTTCCAATAAAAAGCAAGGCTGTACTTCACTTTTCAGTTAAATCACCCTCTCCGAAACAGGCCAGATGCAGGGAGACTAAGGATTCAGGATTACTCCAACTCCTAGAATCTCAGCAAGTTTGAGGGCTTCAACTTCTTGCTTCTTCTCTGCCCACCCTGTCTGCTGGGCAGGGTGGGACCTGTGGGACGCTGGGCACTTGCTGGCCCTCGGGTGCCAGAGGCTACACCAGTGCACAGCTAGGCTGCTAGGCAGGCTGGCGGTGCAGACACAACACCTGTCCCCATCATCAATAACACCTGGCCCCATCATCAACACCTGGCCTCATCATCAAAGGAACGTACAGAGTCTCCACTTCCCTGCAGACTTTAGCATGGGCTAATTTTTTGTCATCTTCAGAAAACAGACATACTTTTTTCCCTTCACTGGGGCACCGCCATAGGAGCGTAAGACATGGTTCAGCTGTGTAACAGCAGCTGTCATTTTTGCTGACTTAGACCATCAGGCAGAGGGCCATCCCATCTGCGAGCTCACAGAAATGTCTGGGAAGAGCTTCCCTACAGGGACTCGTATGACCACAGCCCCTCCCCCACCACACCTCTGCCGGCACCCAGAGCTCCCTGTGCCCAGCTTTCCTCCCTCCACGGGGATGCCGACACCCGCAAACCTTTACCACTGCCCCAGACTGCTTTTCTGAGTTGCAGGGTCCTGAAGCTAGCTCTACGGGTGCCGTCGGGCATCTGCCCCCCTGGTAAAGGCAAAAGTGTGTCCCTCGCCATCCGCTGCGAGCCTGCTCCGTTTCTGACGGGGTCCCTCCGGCCCTGTCTTACTCTCATGTCATCACGCCTTCTACGGGCCAGGCAAGTTCTCTGTGAACAGTCTGGGACCTCCTACCTCTACCCACTGCTGCCACAACAGTGCTGGCCTTCACCAGCCTCCCAGCTGGGCTCCTTGGGCCCAGTTCCCACCCTGCCCAAGCCAGGCAGCGCAGAGTCATCCTATACAACATATCAAGTCACAGCTGCCTGCTTCCACAGCCCAACCATTCTTCCTCAGCCACCAAGACTATTCCGACTGGGCCTCTGTCTAGGTGTTCATGTGCAGACCTTGCCTGGCTGCCGACCAGACTCACTGAGGCCTGTTCAAAGAAGCGCTGGTGCATGAAGAAGGGTGACATGGGGCAGGGGTGGTTAGAGATATAATGAAAGTGAAGTCTAGGAAAGCAAGTCTCTAATCAACAGTCTTCCATTACTAGTTCTGGAAGAGGAACAACCACAAAAGGAAACAGATCAGGTATATCTGCTGAAAAAGCTGCCTTACAAAGCAATTTTTAATCTTCCTTTCTTCTGGTAAGAATAATCAATACTGAACATCTTGGTATAAGAAAAAAAAGTGACAGAACCATAACCAGATTCAGTACCAGGAATATATTTCTCACAACAGCAAAGCTATGTTAATCAGAGTAGAAAGTGTGACCCAAGGATTCACACCCAGCCAGGCTAGGCTTTCTGTATATCATTAAGACTATAGGAAACATTTTGCTTTGCAGAGCTCAGAGAATTCTGTACCCCTGACCCTGACTTGAGGACATGCGCCCAAGGGTGAAGAGGACAGGGAACACTTCACAGGAGGACCAATACAAGCACGGGATGTCATCCTGGAGACCCATGAATACCCTGTGTCTGACACAGCAGAAATAATCCAGCTGGGAAATGGGGAGAAGACTGTAAAAGGGGAAAGTGAGAAGGATGGAAGCAGCTCATGGACTGTTGTCCAGGCAGAAAGTAGGTGTCAGAGAATCTGCCTTGAAGCCCACTGTGGAAGGTAAGCAAGGAAACCAAGGATGGAGCACCAAAGGTACAAGTGTGGAGGAATGCACTCAGGCAAGACTGCCAAGTTTCCGAAACACCAATGATTTTCAAAAATAAAAGCTAAGAAAACACATTATACAGAAAAAGAAACAACAAATATAAAATACACAGAGTAATTATAAAATGTCACTGGAGCTGAGAAGACCACACACAGTAGTAATAAATGCAAATGGGCTTATACAGATAAGATTTTCCATTTGTGGCTCACAAAGCAGGACTGAAGATTTGTGCTGTCTGAAATCAGAGAACGAGCTAACACTGAGGAATGCAGCGATGAGAGCAGAGGTGCCCCGCCAAGCGAATGGAGACACGGAGAGAAGGGTCGGCGATCACCATCTTAGACAAAGTAGAATTCAAGGCAAAAGCACAAAAACACAACAAAAGGACATTTCTTAGCATTAAACCCCACAATTCGCTAAGAAGGTATTACAGTTAGGAATGGGCACCAAATACAAATACCACCTTTATAAAGCAAAACTGCAAGAGAGACAAGAAAACCTAGAAACTCATTAAATAATGAATAACAGAGGACAGGTCAAGAGGACAAAAAACCAGGAAGGAAACAGAAGACCTAACCCTAAATATTATTCATCAATACATCATGCGGCTATATACGTTCAATTTTCCCCATGATAATAGAAAAAATACACATTTATCTCAAGGGTATACAAAGCAGTCAGAAAAGCTGGTCACAAGGAAAATATCAGTACATTCCACAAAGCAGAAATATTATGAACACTATTCTCTGATTACAATACAGAAAACTTAGAAATTATTAACATAAGAAAGGCTCTCCCAGGGGAGCCTGAGTGGCTCATGCTATGATCCCGGGGTTCTGGGATCAAGCCCAGTATTAGGCTCCCTGCTCGGCAGGGAGTCTGCTTCTCCCTCTCCTTCTGCCACCCCCACACCCCCCTCCTTTTCTCTCTCTCAAATAAAAAAATCTTAAAAAAAAAAAAAAAAGAAAGAAAGAAAGACTCTCTCACCTGGAAACCTAAAAGGCACTATTCAACTACTGGACAAAGGGGGGATAAAAACAAAGAAACTCCTGACCTTCTTAAAACAAAACAAAACAAAAAAACAATACGCCAATGGAAACATCAGACTGAGGTATATTTAAAGGAATGATCAAAGGAAAATTGGAAATGCTAAATACTTTGATCAATAAAAATGATGGAATGAAAACAAATGAACTAAATTCCCAAACCAAAAAATTAGAGGGGCGCCTGGGTGGCTCAGTCGTTAAGCGGCTGCCTTCGGCTCAGGTCATGATCCCAGGGTCCTGGGATTGAGCCCCTCATCAGGCTCGGCGGGAATCCTGCTTCTCCCTCTCCCACTCCCTCTGTTTGTGTTCCCTCTCTCACTGTGTCTCTCTCTGTCAAATAAATAAATAAAATCTTTTTAAAAAATTAGAAATAAACAACAAAGTGAAAGCAAGAACAGGAAGAAAATAAAGATAACGGTAGGAATTGATGAGATATTAGAAAGAACAACAGTAAACCTGGTTAATGAATAAAGAGCCTGTTTTTTTTTTTTAAATATGAATAAAACAGATGAACTGTTCTTTTCTTTTTTTTTTTTTTTGAAGTGGGCTCCATGTCCAATGTGGGGCTTGAACTCGTGACCCCGAGATCAAGAGTCATATGTCCCACCCACTGATCCAGTCAGGCAGCCCCAAAATAAAAGACAAACTATTAACTAGCTGAAAGAAAGAGAATGGGAACAGAACACAAATACATAAAACACGGAACGGTGATGAAAATAGCCTCACTGGGAGGCAGGCTACAACGGCAGTAGGAAGTAGGAGTAGGAAACCTTAGTTTTGTCTGGCCTCAAGAATTCAGCTAGATAGCTACCAAATCATTCTGAACACCTGCGAACTCAACCAGAGATCGAAGATAAGAATAGCAGCAACTCTATGAACAGGAAAGCAATCACTTTCTGGATGGTAGGAGGTGCAGAGAAGTGAATCCGGGGCAATATATGGGAGGACAGACCATGGGGGAGGGAATCTCCATCAAGCCGGCTCCTGGCAGTGAGAGAGCTGCAGAGCACAAAATCAGAACTTTTAGAAGTCTGCTCCACGGAGGGACATCGCTCCAGAGGTTTAAGTGAGGAGTAGAGCCCTCGTGGGGACACTGTGGTCTCAGGACCCACAGGGTCACAGAAAGACCGGGGATACCTGCCTGAATGTGGCAGAGCTCCCAGGTATCAGAGTGGGAAGGTGGCTTCAAAGATACCTAAGACAAACCTAACCCAAGAGGCAGAAGATCTGTACTCAGAAAACTATAGAACACTCATGAAAGAAACTGAGGGAGACCCAAAGAAATGGAAAAATGTTCCATGCTCATGGATTGGAAGAACAAATACTGTTAAAATGTCTATGCTACCCAGAGCAAGCTACACATTCAATGCAATCCCTATCAAAATACCATTCACTTTTTCACAGAGCTGGAGCAAATAATCCTAAAATTAGTGTGGAACCTGAAAAGACCTCAAATAGCCAAAGCAACGTTGAGAAAGAAAACCAAAGCTGGGGGCCTCACAAATCTGGACTTCAAGCTCTATTACAAAGCTGTGATCATCCAGACAGTATGGTACTGGCACAAAAACAGACACACAGATCAATGAAACAGAATAGAGAGCCCAGAAAGAGACCCTCAACTCTATGGTTAACAAATCTTTGACAAAGCAGGAAAGAATAGCTAATGGAAATAAAACAGGCTCTTCAACAAATGGTGTTGGGAAAATTGGACAGCCACATGCAGAAGAATGAAACTGGACCATTTCCTTACACCACACACAAAAACAGACTTAAAATGGATGAAAGAACTAAATGTGAGACAGGAATCCACCAAAATCATAGAGGAGAACACAGGCAGCAACCTCTTCGACCTCAGCTGCAGCAACTTCTTGCTAGACATGTCTCCAAAGGCAAGGGAAACAAAGGCAAAAATAAACTACTGGAACTTCATCAAGACAAAAAGCTTTTTCACAGCAAAGGAAACAGCGGACAAAACCAAAAGACAACCAACAGAATGGGAGAAGATATTCGTAAATGACATATCGGAGATAGGGCTAGTATCCAAAATCTATAAAGAACTTATCAAACTCAATGCCCAAAGAATAATCCAATCAAAAACCGGCAGAAGACATGAACAGATATTTTTCCAAAGAAGACAGACAAATGGCCAACAGACATGTGAAAAAATGCTCAACATCACTCAGCATCAGGTAAATACAAATCAAAATCACAATGGCATATTACCTCATACCAGTCAGAACGGCTAAAATTAACAAGTCAGGAAACAACAGGTCTTGGTGAGGATGTGGAGAAAGGGGAACCCTCGCGTGCACTGTTGGTGGGAATGCAAGTTGGTGCAGCCACTCTGGAAAATATGGAGGTTCCTTAATAAGTTAAAAACAGAACAGCCCTATGACCCAGCAATTGCACTACTGGGTATCTACCCCAAAGATACAAATGTAGTGACCAAAGGGGCACATGCACTCTAATGTTTATAGCAGCAAAGTCCACAACAGATGTCCATTGATATCTGAATGTCATGGATAAAGAATGATAAAGAATGAATGGATAAAGAAGATGTGGTATACATATACAATGGAATATTACACAGCCATCAAAAAAACAAAATCTGGCCATTTGCAATGATGTGGAAGGAACTAGAGGGTATTATGCTAAGCAAAGTAAGTCAATCAGACAAAGACGATTATCATATGATTTCAAAAATCTGTGGAACTTAAAAAACAAAACAGAGGATCATAGAAGAGAGAAAAAAATAAGATGAAACAAGGGAGGGAGGCAAACCATAACAGACTCTCAGTCATAGGAAATGAACTGAGGGTTGCTGGAGAGGAGGGGGGAGGAGGTGAAGGGATGGGTAACTAGGTGATGGATGTTAAGGAGACCATGTGATGTAAAGAACACTGGGTATTATATAAAACTGATGAATCACAGGCTTGCACCTCTGAAACCAGTAATACATTATAGGTTAATTAATAGAATTTATATTAAAAATGTTAAAAAAGATAAAACGGCCATTGAAAAATATGTTTTTAAATATTATATAGTTTCAGACATCTATGTAAATAAGCTGGAAAATCTAACTAAAAGAATAATTTACTATGGAAATATAGTTTATTAAAATTAACCTTATTAGAAACAGAAATACCAAATAGACCAATTTCCATTTCTCTCTTTCTCAGAGACACCAACGAAGGGTTCTGTATGGCATGCGGGCACTCGAGTTTGTATGGAAGCACAGACATGCATGAACAGCTGGGACCACAGTGGAGAAAAGTAGGGAGGAGAGGCCTCCCTGAAGTGCACGGGGCCCCAGAGTAACCAGCTCAGTGCAGCGGCGGCAAACAGGGAAGCAAGGAGGAAATGACAGAAAGTCAGTAGATGCAAGGTCACAGGGAAACTGAGTGTAGCACAAGGGAGGCACTCTGAACCATGGAGCAAGATGAATTTTTAGTAACTGGTACTGGGTCAGCGGGCTAACCATTTAAGAAGAGATAATCCTGGACCCATGGCTCACACAATAACCAAGAAAACTCTCTCAATGCACCGAGGCTAAATGAGAAAGGCAGAACCCCACAAATGCTGGAAGACACAGGCACACTCCTCTCCTACTTCAGTGTTAGAGTAATGCTTTCCGACCACTGTTTACAATCCAGAGGCACTGAAAGACCAACGAAATGACTATATAAAACTGAGAAAGAAAACCTCTGCATGGCTGGAAAGCATCGCAGACACGGTCCAAAGAAGTATGTATCTGCAATCTGTGATGCAGGTAAAAGGTCAATTAATATTCCTAATATATGAAAGACTCTTAAAAATGCAAGGAAAGGGACCAAAAACCTAATTCAAAAATAAGAAAAAATACGAACAGAAAACTCACAAAAAAGAGACAACAGTCCTTTAAAATATGACCTTACTGTAATTAGAGAAAAATGCAAATGAAAGCTACATTGCGGAGTGATGTCATCTGTCTTGGCTCAAGTCACCAGCCTGGTAAGACTGTCTGTGCCAGGCCTTCGCCTTCTGACTCGGCACTCCGCTTTGCTGGGAGTTCCCCACCAAATAGCTCCCAGGGCAGCCTGGCCAGTAATCACAAACCCCGGGAACCCAGACGGCCGAGGAAGAGCTCTGTGCTCCCCACGCACTGTGCTTTCCGGAACATGTTCGGTTGGCGGGAGGGGCAAGCAAAGGGCAAAAGCTCTAGCATGCTACCTTTTGTGTAAAAGAAAGAAACTGAGTAGTTACCTACAGAGAGTGGGTGGAAGTGAGGAAGAAAAGGGAAAACCAGGCTGGGGGCGGGGGAAACCAACCCAGAGGAAAGGCAAACAGAAACAAAGGCCTAGAGTTGAGGCTGCACCTCAATGTGCTGGAGTCCTGGCCCCCTGCTCCCTGCCCCTGCCCACTGCTCCCCACCCTGGGGCTGCTGCTTCCCTCCCCAGACCACTGCTCCTGCTTGTACCCTCAGCCTGGAGACAAAAGAACTGTGAAGACGTCACTAAGCAAGGCCACCACAGTCACTAAGCAAGCCCACTGTTTTCACAGCGGGGAGGGTGAGCAATTCTGAACCTGCTTTAGTAAATAAAGCACAGCCCTGGTGAGAGGAGGCAGGCGGAGAGGTGATGGGGAGTGCCGCTGGAGCCAACTGTGTGAACTTGTGGTTTTCACTATAGAAATGACATCAGATGCTAGTGTAGGCTGCGTGCACCCGCCCTGCCCCATGCCCCGACTCCTGGCTGTGTCAAAGGGAAGGGTCTGGTAGCAACAACATAGCAGCAACACCAAGTTTCTAAATGCCACTCTCCTCTGGAAAGAACCAGGGCTCCCTGGAAAATGGCAGATTCAGTGCTGGGACAGGGAAAGTACAGAATAAGCCCAGAACACCTCCCAGTGCAGGGAAGTACGCAAGTGCTCCAAGAATAGTGGGGTCCAGGGGCCTTCGAGGGGGCACCCACTGACTACCATCTAGGACAGCCAGAGGACCAAAACACGTAGTGTTAGTAAAGGACTATAATCTATAGCACAAAGTAAGTCTCCGTGAATCCACCGTGATATAACTAAACAAATGAAAACCATACGTGGGGCATGGGGGAAGGAAAGTGCCTCCCAAAGAGCACCAAATAAGAGATGTGCAAGGAATAATGATGTTAGAAACACCACTACATGGCAAACAACTCAGGAACAACCAACCACTCTGGGCAAGACTTGCCAGCGGATGTTCCCAGCAGCAGGAGACCCACATCCCCATCAGACACGTCCCCTTCCGTGAGCAGAGGGAGAAGCACTGGCCCCACAGCAAGGAGACTCCGTGCCCCCCACAGCAGACACCAGCAAGGACCCTGCAACTCCAGAGCATTCCCACCCAAAACACACAATCTGAATCTGACCATGAAGAAATGGCACATAAAACCAAACTGAGGGGCACCTGGGTGGCTCAGTGGGTTTAAGCCTCTGCCTTCGGCTCAGGTCATGATCCCAGGGTCCTGGCATCGAGCCCCGCAACAGGCTCTCTGCTCAGCAAGGAGCCTGCTTCCTTCTCTTTCTCTTGCTGCATGCCTCTCTGCCTACTTGTGATCTCTGTCAAATAAATAAATAAAATCTTAAAAAAAAAATGTTGGCCTAATGCTCAGGGACTGATTAAAAAAAAAAAAAAAAAAAAACTGAAATTATTCTAAATAAATTATTCTAAAAAATAGAGACTGACTCTTTAGAAATGTCAAGGTCACGAGAAACTGAAGAACCAATTCCTTCAAGGAAATTAAGGAGATCTGACAGATGACCTGGACTGAATCCTATGTCAGGAACTGGAGAAACAGCAGGAAGGTCTATAATTAGATCATGCTACAGTATACGGTATACATTAATTTCTTAATTCTGATAACTGTATCTGTGGTTTTGTAAGAGACTATCTTTGTTTCAAGGAAATATACAGTGAAGTATTTAAGGGCAAAGGGGCTTCATATCTGAAATTATTCTCCTTTCGCTCAGAAAACAATAAAAAAGGGAGAAAGAGAAAGCAGATGTGGTAACAGTGATTTGGGGGATTCTTTCTACGCCTATAATTATTCCAAAAGAGCAACACAGAACAACAACGGCCACATGTGTCTCCCTGCTGTGGCAAAGCCACAAGAAGCCCAAAGCCACGAGAGGCAAGGCAGCACCTGGCGACAGGGGGGCCGGCCACACTCCCCCGGCTCCCTATTTACCGATTGAACTGCTGACTCTGTCTCCTTTCTTCTTCCTGTTTTTCTTGCCCTTGCCCTTGGGCTGCGGAGAGTCCACAGGCACCAGCTTGCTGTCCTGAGGGTGTTCACTGGGGGAGGCGGGCTCTGGGGGGGGCTGGATTCAACCGTTCTTCCTTGACGTGGTTCAGCTGCTTTTTGTTATTGTTGTTACTGTTCACTTTTCTCTCCTCCCTTTTCTGCTCCGCCAGGGAAGTGAGGTCAAGCACTTTCGCCTTCGACTCAGTCTGGGGCCGGGGTCTGGGATGGCCCTCGGAGACTCTGGGAGGCTCGGCCGGCTTCCTCGCCGGCTCGCTGCTGGCCTTGCTGGTCTGCTTGAGCTTCTGCTTGCCGCTCCCTTCTTTGTGCTGATGCACCATGTCAAGGAGAAAAGACAGCGGCTCCTGTTGCTTTGCACTGACCTCTTTTGGGAGGAGGAGCCTGGAGTCCCTGGAGTCCACGGGGCTGGCAGCGTCCCCGTCAGCCCCAGGCCCCGGCCTGGGCTCTGTGTGGTCCCCATGTCTGGCAGGAGAGTGAGATGAGGTTTCCGGTTCTTCCGTTTGCTCTAGTGAGCCATTGTGCATGTTTTCAGAGTTAGATACAGACTCTGCTGCTGCCTGGAAGTTTCTAGCAAGCATGTCCAACTTGGGACAGTCTTTACTTGGCCTCTCCTTCTTCTTCTTTTTCACGGCCCTCAGCTTCTGAAGCTCCTGAAGCCGCTGAAATTCCTCCTCCTCCTCCTGCTGCCTCTGCTCCTCACGGAGGTGGAGGTGCCCCCGGGCCCGGGCCTCTGCTTCCAAGCGAGCCTTCTCCTCCAGCTGCCATGGGAAAAGAAGAGGCAACTTAAGACAACAGTTGAGTTTTCTTACGTTAAGGCATTAAAAACAACAACAACAACAACAACAACAAAACCCTTAAAAACAAATCATATAGTAAGAACACAAACCCTGAAAGAGCTTATAATAATCCAAATAGCTTAAAACATACTTAACCCAAATCATTTTACTCTCCAAAATGATCAGATTTAATCTTTCTACTAAAGTGTACACTTGTTACTTTATTGGTTGTAGCTGGGGTGGGGGGTGCTGGTTAACAAGATCTCCCTTAGAGCTTTCGCCCTAGTGGCACTTTTTAAAAAACAAAGTCAGGGGTGCCAGGTGGCTCAGCCAGTTCAGCATCTGACTCTTGATCTCGGCTTAGGTCTCAATCTCACAGTCATGAGTTCAAGCCCCGCACCAGGCTCTACACTGGGTGTGGAGCCTGCTAGAAAAATAAATTAATAAAATAAAGCAAGGTCAAAGTAGCTGCTACATCAGAATCCCGTTGTTGTGCAGCAGCTGGATAAGAAGACTAACCAGCTAACCAGTGGCTGGCGTGCTGCCTCTCCAGGCCAGGCTGGGCCTTCAAGTATATGTCAATGGGGCGGGTACAGAATGTGTACTGAAAACTTGAATTCCCTTTTTCCAGCCTAGCAGAGCATCGAAACTCCCAACATATGTCCACCAGTGTGACAGAGCAAGCGGTACCCTAACACATTTCCACGTCACACGGCCAACAGACACTGGCTACTTCCGCCCTCCAGCTTGGCATGAAGTTCATTTTCAGTCAAGTGAAACTGGACTTCACCAGTGACTCCTATTCCAGAGGCCTCCACGGAGACTATTCCTTTTGCTCAGAAAACAAATGAAGGCTGTGAAGAGTGCATGACTCTGCATCCCTGAGCTCCTCCAGTAAAAGACTTTGGCAAATATATTTTATATTTAAAAGTCCTTCCAAAAAAAAAAGGAATTCAAAAAAATAAAAGTCCTCTCAGGTTTTAGTTATTTTTTACAACATTCCAGTATGCAATATTTGACAAAGACAAACGTTAACTCTGAAGAACTTAAATATAAAATTATGTTAAAAATTTAATGGCAGATGTTTTAAAAATTTAACTCGACAGTTCAAGTAAAACTTATTTAAAATCCTTGTTTCATGTGTTCAAAGTGAAGCCTTGGAGGCCACTCCCACAGTGCCCCCATATCTAGCGTCTGGTGAGCAGAGTGTCTCCCCCAGCACAGGTCGGAGCAAGCCCGCCCGAGAACAGGAGCTGTAGGGAACCCACAAGCAGGTATGTGGGGCCTTCCTTTCAACAACCAGCCTGTCACCCAGACACTCCGTGGAGATGGGGTGCAGGGCACCGAGCACACAGGGTGAGGGGGCCCTGACCTAATACCCAAGTGGAAAACAGGTCTCACTGCCCCGCTCTAGTGGGGCAGGGCCAACCCCCATCTCCTCAAAGCCCACTAACTGGACCTTGATTAGGACCGTGAGGTACAAGCAGGGCTCCTAGCGGGTGATCCAGTCACAACGGTCTCTACATCACAAGCAGCTGAAAGTGGAGGCACCGTCCCCAGTGCTCTCTGGGAGTGTACTCTTGTTCCATGTCTGCTGGGCCTCGCAGGGGCCTCGCCTCTTCCCCAGTCACCCATCCGGCCAGCAGAGGCCCTGTCACCCTTGCAGGTTCCCCTCTATGCACAGCCCGGATCTGCCTGCTGCGGCCTGGCTCCTTAGGAAGCTGAAACCAGGACGGCCGCAGTACCACACAGCCCCAGGCCGCTGAGGCATCCCAAAGAGCAGACGCTATTGGTCCCCTCGCTTGGAGCCGGAACAGGAAGTGAAGAGCACCGTGTCTCACTTGCTAGCGGACCGCCTCTGCATGCCACGTCCGCCGCTGGGCCAACTTGTCTAGTCTTGGTAGATGCCTGCTTCCGTGCAATCCACACCCTGTGGGGAGGTGCCCAGGGCAGTCTGCCAGGGCTGTCCATCTTACTCTTTGACCCTTGACACCAACGCCGCGTGCCTGTCCTCTTCTGGGATGGCTTTGCCTGACTCTCCTCTACCAGTGGGGACAAGGAGTGGGGGATAGGGAGCACCCAGACTATGTCCTAAGAATGTTGCTGTGGCAAAGGGCCTATCCAAGCCTCGTGTCAAAGTAACTTCTTTGCCCACAGTCTCCAAAAGCCCACCGGGGCCCCCTTCTATTCCCTTAATGCCAGGGGCCCCATCCTCAACCTCCCTGGGAGAGAGGCCAAGGGTCTGCTGTGGCCGCCCACATGGGGCACAGGGACCCAAAGGCTTGAGATCCATCAATAAATCCATGACACAAAAGGGGAAGCTGTGTCCTGAAAACACATCCTGGGGCTTCTGCCCAGCTCCGACTCAGGCTGCAGAGATAGAGATGGTCAGGGGCCCTTGTGGCAGCAGCGTGGCCCTGTGGCCCCGAGGCCCGCCACAGCCCGCGCCGGCACGTGGTTTACCTTCCTCTGCTTGTGTCTGGCTCGCTTGGCGGCTCGAGTGCTGCTCACAGGCTTGGTCTCCGAGCTGTTGATGAACTGCAGTAGGTCCTCCACCCTTCGATGGTCAACCACACTCTCTCTGTCCGAGAGCTGGTCTGCCTTTTTAGGCTGCTCTTCCTTCCTCTTGGTCAGCCGCAAACGAAGCTTCTCCCTCATCTCTGCGTAGTTTCTACTTGTCGGCGCGGCCGGAGGCTAAGGCAGTTAAAGGAGAGCGTGTCTGGATGAAGCTTCAAGTTTTAATGAGGCTGAATATTGCAAATTTCAGAACATTATCTTTAAAAATGAAAGTTTTTCTTATTACGCCAGTAATACACGTTCACGGTGAAAAATAAGGAAGATAAACAAGTGGCAGCAGCAAGGAAAACCTGTCCCAGAGTGACCGGAAGGTTAGTTCTGGTACCGACCCCTCAACCTTTACACGTTCATGAAAACTATGGTAAAGCATGTACACAAACAGACATTTTTAAACCAGAAAAGAAAAAAAAAAAAAAAATCACACATACCAATTAATCTACCTCTTACATAATACAGTGTGATTATCTTTTCGTGTCAATAAACGTGTTTGTAGAATCTTTCCGTCCCTTTGTGGGTGTCTTGTTCAATGCCAAAAGGGAAAAAGAAAACTGCCCTCAACCCCGCCGCCAATACTTCTTCCTGACACTGAACACGTGTGTGCACGTTTAGCAAATGCAGACGGAACAAAGGTAGAGAAAGAGCAACGACCAGCCCCGGCTTTTCCTCCCAACACCCCCCTGGGCCCCTGCCTGCCCCCCCGCCTGGGGCACCATGGCTGCCATGACTCGGAGGGACAGGCCATTAGAGGAGTCCCCCAGCACACCCCACACAGCGAGTGCCCCACTGCATGGCCTGCCACGATCTGCACCTAACAAGTCCCCGGTTGGCTGGTCAGGAGGTCCCCCGCTCCCAAAGAAATGAACACATGCAGTCACGAAACCCTTACAGGGAGATCTTGGGGCGAACATCTGTTACTGTTTCTCGAGGACAAGGGCACCCGAGCAGGAGGCGCTGGCTTCAGAGCTCAGTGCCGACCGGGCCTGCCGGTGCCCGGTGCCCACCCGCGGTCCCCGGGGCACTTACCCCGCCGTGCCCGAAGAACTCACAGTAGCAGCAGTCACAGTACTTGCCCTCCTTCTGGTTGGTGGAGGTGGAGGTGCTGGAGCTGTGCTCGGAGCAGCTGTCCTCGTCCGCACTCTCATCCCCGTCGTCCTGCTGCGGGTCGTACACGCCATTCTCGCAGCGGTGGCCCTCGCAGTCAGGGTCGCTGCAAAGCCACACACAGGCCAGTTATTGGCTGTGCCCCCCTCCCCCACCCACACCAGCCGCCCTATGGGGGAGAGCGGTGGGCAGGCACCAGCTCACCTGCACACGCTGGGAGGGGCGCTGAGGGGGCCATCGGTCGTGGGGGGCGGGGGGGCTCCTGGGGCCGGACAAAAGCTCTTGCGAGGCTCCACGAAGCCTGGGGACGCGGCGGCACTGCTGGGGAAGGCGGGGGCTGCGAGTCCAGCCAGATGCGGCGAGGAGGCTGGGCCAAGCACAGGAAGTGGCGCCAGGCCTGTGGGGCTGTTCCTTGGGGCGGCCGGCACCGCGTGTCGGGGATCCTCCTTGCTGACGCCGTGGAACACCTCACCTGCGGGTGGGGACGCGGAGGGGCGCTGAGAACGGCAGACTGGAGTCCGTCTGTCTTCACTACAGCATCCTCGACTGCTTAGTGTGAAGATGCTCAGAGCTGCATGACCTCTGAGGAACAGTGCCAGGAACCCCGCCTGTGCCCCTCACCTGCACCCACCACTGCCAGACACCCCATGGCGTGTATCCCTCCCACACACACCGCGGGGGCTGCACCCACTCTCTATACCTCAGCGCGAGCCCCGGGCACGAAGCTGCCTGGTGTGACCAGAGCCCGGGCCTGTGCCATCCACGTGACGTTCCCACCCCAAGTGCGACCCCATCCCTCTCCCGTCTTCCCTGCACGGCCATTAGTAGCTCTTCTCCAACCTGGCCTCTTCTAAGTGTTTCTCCTGCAGCAACACAGACATCTTCTCCACTGAGGACAGTTGCCCCCAGTCTGGGCTCATGCTGTTACACGTCTGAGTTGACCAAAGTATCTTAGGGGCACAACTACTGCCAAGGCTGCACTGGCTCCTTCCCCCGTGACCATACAAGAGGCCCTCACAGGGTCATTTCACGATGGAGCGGCCACATCCACGATGCTGCTCGCACACGGGGAGGACACAGTGTTCCCCACACGGACAGCCACTGTTCTTAATGACCACTGGGGATGATCACCTGGGCTGACAGTCACCCTGCTGGCTGCATGGGGGCCTTTCTCTGTCTGTTGTATCAGGGAGCAGCTTCCCTACCCCCCTCCTTTCTGAACACCTGGGGGATTCCTGACCATGTGTGCTATTGTCCATCCCATTACTCTTTCCAATGCTCCAGCTGTCCTGACTGTGGCTAGCAAGCGCCCTTAGAGCCAGTTTCTGTGGGCCCCCAACCTCTGCTTCCAGAACCCTGCTCCCTGTGCTCATCCCAGCGCAGGCAGCCACGTCCCCCACACACCACAGACACAGTGGCAGCAGGGGCTGCACCCCAGGCCGGCCAGCAGCCCCACCGGCTCCCTCTCCACCAGGCTTCTGTTTTCAGGAGACTAAGAATTCCTCCATGTGACCCGACAGCAGTGACCTCTTCCTCTCACAAAGCAGCAGGTACCGAAAAGAAAGGCAAGCCAGCGTGGCAAATCCCCAGAGGAAGTTTGTGGGGCAGTGAAACTCGGGTCCAACTCCCAGAGGATGTGCTGTCTGCATGCGAGCATTCTCTGGCATCGTTTACACCAGGCCTGTGGTCACACCAGGGACACGGCAATCACAGAGATGCTGAGGAAGCCGTGGACACACTGAGCTGCCCTGAGGGTCCCCGTAAGCTGGTGGGCCTTACCTATGGAAGGAGGCCTTTTGGATGACACTTTGAATTGGCTGTTGCTGGACTGCACTGTGGTGGCCGTGCAAGACACGGAGGACGTGGCTGACGATGTGGCCATCACGACTTTGTTCACTTCCATGAAAGCATCTTGGAAATTGTACAAGCATTTCTTTTTCGCAGCATTTTTTTTCTCCTTGCTCTCAGAAACCACAGGCGTTTCACCACTAGATGGGGGTGGAAGGGCTTCGGGTCTTGTTTCTGAGAGTGTTGGTCCTAGTATGTCACTCCCTTCAGAGAAGAATGAGACAAGTAAGGCCTCTCGAAATACGTCGCTAAAACCTAAGGGACATCTGTTGACTAAACTAACACTGGGGCTGTTACCGAAGCTGGGACTTTACTGGGAGGATGCTAGTCAATCAGTTTCTCTCCAGGGTAAAAAAAAAAAAAAGGCACTGAGCACCTACTATGTACCAATCCCATGCTAGGTGCCTTCCCAAAGTTATTTTACTTATTGTCTTAAAGCTACTTGGTGAGCCTAGTACTATTAGTCCCATCCTAAAGATAGAGAACCTGAGGCTCAGAGAGGCTAAACAACTTGCACAAGGTCACACAGCTAAAAACCCCTTCCACGCAGAGATGTCAAGTGTAGTTAGCTTTTCCGAGCACATACAGGGTCTGGGTGTGGGGCCACCGTGGGCTCTAACCTTGTGAAGACACAGATAATTGTGCAACCAGCCCCTCTTCAGGCGCACCTTTCCCTGTGCCTGAAATGACAGCTGTACTCAGGCAGCCGAGGGCTGTGAGGAAGGAGCTTGTTAGAGAGGACAGACCCCTTGTAAGGTCAGTACAGAACCAGGAAAGCAACCTAAGTCACAGCACTGAGGTGGGTGGTGGCAGAGCTGCAAGGCCCCTGCTAGCACCACAGGCCCAACACCAAGGCCTGGAGACAAGAGGCTCAGCCGTGCTGGGGCACGGAGAGATCTGTCGTGCTCAGGGCCCCAGAGAGCCAGCCGTACTGGAAGCAGCCACAGGGTGCCAGAGCTTGCTCTGCCCTGTCCAGGCAGCGGGACTTGGCCGGCGGCGGACGTAGATGGCTGGGGCAGGGGGATGAGGCCGAGGGGGCTTCCAGGAGCAGCTGAGGTGGGGGACCCAACTAGCCTGAGGCATCTACTGGGGGACCGCAGTAATCCACCCAGCTCAGGTCATTTTAAACCTTTAACAAAGTTTTAACAAGTTCCTTACCAGAAACTGTATCTGGCAAGAAAGTGCCAGGATTCCAGTTCTTATCATTCATCACTTCTGATCCCCAAAGACTTATAAACTTAGAACTGTTCCACTCTGGAGTGTTCCCAAAACAGCTCGGATAAATATGGTCTTGAAGAGACGCGTTGAATACCTGATGCTTGTTTGCGGGATTCGGAACAGGGGCTGGCGGTAAACCCTACAAAAAAAAAGGCTCTGATCACATATCAAAATGCACGTTCTGCTTATGTATGTAGTTAAACCACAGACAGATCCCACGACGAACACCCCTAGAGGGCCGCGCTCACTGTGGGTGGCGTCTCGCAGAGTGCGGACCTGCTCGTCAGGCACACCGCATGCCATTGCTCACATGTGAACCAGGAGTACATCATCCCAGCCACTGATGCTTCAGGGAACCGACCAGACTCAAGACGACTCAGCAGCTTACGGCATCCCTCCCTCGGCACAGGCTGCGTGCAAGTCGCTCCCCGGGCTGAGTCTCAGCGGACATTGTAAGGATCACTGCTCAAAAGCCAACTTTGGAATCACTGACAGTGGTAAAGCTCTTCAACTATGTCTCACACCTGGGCCACGTGCCGTGCAGGCTAAGGAACTATGGATTTTACGGGGCCCTGCTGGGGCAGACTGCTGTCTGAAGGCACCGAGGAAGGGTGGCTGGGACCACACGTTCACCAAGTGGCTGCTGGCTGCTCCCTGCACACCCCTGGCATTCTTGGGCCCTTCCTCCTCTCAGCCCACACCCCGCAGCTCCAGCTTTTACTACCTGAGCCGAAAGCCCCCACGGCTCACCCCCAGCCTCCTCCCAGTCCTTTCCCTCGCAGCAGCCAGAGTGCGCTTTGGTGAAGGTAAGAGTCACTCCCTTAGGGTGCACCAAGGTCTTCCTACTGCTCTTAAAATGGAACTTAGTAAGTCTCTCACATGGCCTGGCCTATCCCTGTCCTTCCTGTTCCCCCAAGCTCCTGGACACAGAGGCCTTCCCTTGGTCCTCAAACCCAAGTTCCTTCTTGACCCTGAACTTTCCTTGTGCTGAATTCAGTTTAAGGTTAAATCTAAGGTTAACATCTTAACCTCAGCCCACAACCTTGCTGACTCATATTCATCCTTCAGGCCTCACCTAAATGTCCCTGCCTCAAGGAAGTCATCACTGCCTCCTGTCCTCGCCATCCAGCACCTAAGACCAAGGTGGGCTTCCCGTACAACACACCTAGAATCTACAGTTTTCTCCTCTCAGCACTTACCACAGTTAGAATTCATGACATACTGGTCGCCTGCTGGTTTAGTACCTGCCTTCTCTCAAGCGACTCTCTGGCTCTGTGGCCCCCAGCACCTTGCTGACGCGGGCACGAGGCTCCCCCCAGCCCAGCATCCACCGCAACAGGCCCCACCCCAAGAAGCTACAGGTCTGGCACCGGGAACAATGCCTGGGAATCTCATCCTTGGGGACACAGAACTGGGCACTAAGTGCTGCGAAGTCGAGTGGGAGGGTTTCAGGAGGATTCCCAAGAGCAGAAGCCAAGCAGCTGGCTAGGGCAGAGGTCAGGAAGGAAGGGCACAGCCCCACGGACAACTGCACCACGGCCAGACAGACTGCAGAACCCAAATCAGAGCCATTGCCACCTGGCCTCTGCCTGGCGGGGGAAAGGCCAGCACAGGACGCAGTCACAGTCAGGGCCTGAGAGACAAGGAGGCGGTGGCAGTGGAGACGAGGGGTTTCGGGGCCATCAGGACAATCACTGGGGCTGTGGGAGCAAGAGCCCGAGACTCCAGTCCCTGGGAGGTGTGGCCAATGACAAAGCTGGACATGAACACTAGTTCTGTTTTCAGCCTTTGGGACGCACAGTCTGACGGGTTGGGACGCCAGCTCCCCCTTTTACTAGCTGTGTGACCTCAGGCAAATTACTCAATTTTTTTTGCGCTTTAGTTTTCTCATCTGTAATTTGTAAATACCTACCTCCAGGTGTTGTGGTAAGAATTAAATTGGACAACAGGTTCAAGTGTGCAGCACAGTGAGGGCTAAGGGACACTGTCACCACTTTGTTAAGACTGATCCCAAGTCACAGAGCACCCCCGCTCCGCCTGTCCTGGGTGCAGAGTGAAGCGGGGGTTCCTCCGCTCTGGCAGTTCGGCACACTTTTCTCAACAGGATCAGGGTGGCAGAGGGTGAGAATGGCGTGGCCATGCGGGCTGTGAAGTAGGAAGAAAGAGAGGTCTAATCTGGTGCTTCCGGCAGGGGAGCCCTGGGGAAAAGAGTGAGGAAACCAAGAACACAGTATTTCCACAGATACCAGTTTCCACAAAGGAGTGATGAACAAAAAAGAGCTGCTTCACCAGGAAGGAACCGAGGGGAAGTGACAACAAAGCAGAGGGTGGTTTCTCAGGGTTGCAGACTCCTGCTGCGGGGCAGGGACAGCCAGCTCCCCAGGCAGAAGCAGAGGGGGCTTCAAAGGCCTCACAGAGCAGAGCCAAAGGCAGGCCCCAAAGCACCACACGGTTTCCTGACGCCCTCCCCGTTCCTGGCTGCCAGTTAACTGCTTTCCCTCCAGGGAGCTGGGCTAAGGGCCCGACCCACCACCCGCTTGTGCTCAGCTCTCGACCTGCAGCCCAGCATCCCCTCCTCCGTGAAGCCACCCGCCAGGCCCCGGGCGCGCCCCCTCTCTCTTCAGTGTGACTTCCCTCCTGGCAGTGGCACAGCGCTGTGCTCTGAGGTGCTGACACGACAAGACTGCACGAGCCCTAGGGAGAGGGACCAAGTTCCTCTGGTGTGTGTTTTGCTGGCATGTAGCACAGGACCTGGCACTCACTGAATGTTCAATAAAGGGAGAACAGACTGAGCTCAGATGGATGAGGGAACACAGCTAGGAAGCTCTAATACTGAAAATGGAAAGTTAAATTCACTTCGACCACTTCTTCAGAAGCCCGTTTACTCAGAACAGGAGGTCCAGCTGCAGAGACCAAGTGAGGAAGGGGTCTGTAACAAACAAGCCACGTTTATGTGAACACTTCCCCACAAGATGGCTCCTCAACTCAACAGACGTGGGCTTCCTTTTGATAAACACAGGCCTCTGTCAACGAGACCACCTGTGGGCCAGACCTCCCAAATGATTTAGGCACAGAATCAGTCTCTCAACATGTGGACAATACTATTCAATGAGAATAGATTTATTTTACTCTGCACAAATCCACACGGTTCAAGAAAGAGAAGTTTTGAATGGTTCTCTGCTTTAAGACATAAGTCATTCACAGAAAAGTAAAATTTCTGCTTTAACGCAGAGCTCGGACAAACACACTGATAGATGCCTTCTGAACACCTTGGGAGTCTACACGGGAGTTGGGAGAGCCAGGCTCCACCGCACACCACCAAACCTTCCCAGATTCCTGGAACATGGTTGCCAAACACAGCAAGCTGAGGGGGCGAAGGACCGAGTCAGGGCATGTGTGTGTGTGGGGGGGTGGCCGACAGGCACATCCCACTAACCAGGAAGCTGGACACATGACTCTTCTGCTTTTTCCAAAGTTCTTCAGGACTATTGCCAGAGACGGTAAAGAGGCAAGAGCACCACGTTTGTTTTGGTCTTGCTATTTCTCAAGCCAGAAGAACTGAGACTGCCTCCAAAACAAAATACAGATCTGAGATCACAGTGGGGCCCCGACCACCGTCTGTCTCTGTCCCTGTTTCCCACCCCTGTTTTTCCCCCTCCAATTCCAGCCTGAACTTAGACCTGCCCCACATCTGACTTCATCACTTCTGCAATGGTTGCGCCTCTGTCCCTCCCTCAGGGCCCAGAGCCACACAGGAGCCAGTATGCAGCTCCACTCACCCTGAACTCACTGAGGGCCAGAATGTGGTGACCATTTTCAACTACTCCCCATTCTCCCAGTGGAGTGTTCAAGACATCCCTCTACCTTCATTACTAGGACATTTCCTACACGATGACTGCTTCAGAACTCAGTTTCTAGATGGAAACAACACAGACTTGGAGCTGGAATACTTGGGTTTCCAAACCTGGCCCTGCAGTTGTGGCCCTCTGCTCCTGGGCCATGTGGGTCAGTGGCTGGGAACGTGCCCTGTGAATGAGAGGGGACGAGGGTGGGGATGGGAGCATGGCCTAAGAACTCACATGGGCTCTTCCCTCTGAGGCTGTGCGGTCCCCCTCTGCTTGGGCTGTGTCCAGGAAGGGGAACACAACACTCTATACCTTTGTAACAAGGTGCTGAACCCTAGAGAAAGCTAGGGAAATCTTTCACAGAACTGATCAGTACATGGTGAGGAAAAACGGCCAGGTGGAGGTGTAGGGAAGGGAGGGCTGCCATGAAAAAGCACACACCATCGTCACAGTGATGGGGGGCAGACTCATGGTCCCACAGGAGGCAGGAGAGCTTGAGGTCACAGGTGGGGCAGCACTACACTGGTACCTCAGCCCCCACCTGGGGCCTTGTGGTTCTCACAGGGTAAGCTGAACAAAACATGCCTCATGAAAAATCACTGTACATCCAAGGACATGCACCCACAGGAGCAACCAAAAAAAACCCGGATTCAGATCCTCAAGATTTCATTCAAAAAGAGAACTATGTGTAAAATGCTTAAAGAAAGAAAATGTGATCAAGGAACAAGAGAACACAAAAAGTTGCTAATATACATTAAAAATAAATTAAGCTTACAGGTAAGAATCATAGCAGGAATTAAAAAGTCAGACTTAAGTAGTAGGTGAGACATATCAGAGTCACATAAGTGGAAGGCTGATGCAAAAGGGCTCTCTGGACAGACCAAGGGGTGAGGGTGAGAAGACAGGTGTGGGACACAGAGCAGGGCAGGTAGGCTGGCTGCACGCAGACAGCATCACAACAGACGAGGGGCATGAAGATAAAAGGGCTCAGCATCATCAGACATGGATTCAAAATGATGACGATCATGAGGCCTCCAACTGAAAAAGCACACAATGGGGGCACCTGGGCAGCTCAGATGGTTGACTCCTGGTTTCAGCTCAGGTCATGATCCTGAGGTTGAGGGACTGGGCCCCACACTGGGCTCCGTGCTCAGCAGCAAGGCTGCCTGGGATTCTTTCTCCATCTCCCTCTGTCCCTCCTCTGCTCACTCACTCTATAGTGCATACATAAAATCTTTAAAAACTAGCACACAATGTGCAAAAACACATAGGTAATGTGAGCAGTGAGAGGGAC